TCACACACAAAAAACAAACAACACACACACACACACACACACACACACACACACACACACACACACACACACACACACACACACACGCGGAGGGTAGAGTTGTTCGCGTCCGTGGGTTCTGCTTTTACACCCTACACGTGCTCTTCGGGTAGTGCCAAATGAACAACACCAACAACGATATGAAAATGTCCCAACAATTTCAAACATCGTCTACGGTGCAGAGGGGGGATACCTCAGTACCGACGAGGGAAGGCGTACAAACGGGCCCGAACTCGTCGTTATCAAGCGACCGTTTGAACAGTGGAGTGGACCCCATGGCTCTGCTGTTTAGCAATGCTACAGGGAGTAAAGAAACAGCTCAGATGGAAATAGACGCACAGCAAACAAACCTTCCTCTAATAAGTGGAAGACCTGTTGCTCCCGTCAATACTCACGCATACTGAGGGAGGATCAACTCTCTACCGACTGTCTTCGGCCAACTTACGCCAATGGAACGGCTCGGTAGCAAAATCGAAGAATTGGCTGAGTTTATAAAGGATAAAAGAAATGTACATCATGAACTCAGAAAAATAGTAGCGTCGATAACATACGCCGATCTCCTTACGGAAATTAAGGCCGAGGTAAGCCCTGTCGAAACAGGCGTAGACATAAGGTCTATCAAAAAGACGGAACATGGAGGCGTTCTCCTTGAAATGTCTCGAAAGACCGAGGACAGTAAGGCATTTACCGATGCAGTAAAGTCAGCTACTGCAAACATCGGCACGGTCAAGACGCTAACACCAACAGCAACGATCGAGATCCTCGACCTGGATGAAATCTCTACCGAGAGCGAAGTCCGTGAAGCACTCAAACGTGAATTCACTGACAGCCTGGAGGTCAAACGGGCCAATTTGACAAAGCCCACACCTCGAGGTAATCGGGCAGCCTTTTGCGAACTAGACGAGCCCAGTGCGATTAAGGCCCTTGACAAGGCCCGTATACGGATCGGTTTAGTGAACTGTCGTATACGACCAGTAGTAAAAGTAACACGTTGTTTTAAATGTCTTGGTTATGGACACCACACACGTCAGTGTGCGGGACCAGACAGAAGCAAGTGCTGTTACAAATGTGGCGGAGAGAACCACAAGGCCGTAAACTGCACGGAGAAGCTGAAATGCTTCCTTTGTGCTTCGGACAAAGATGGTCAGGATAGTCTATGCCATATTTCTGGCACTGTAGCTTGCAAGGCATTCCGCAAAGCACTTGCAGAAGCCACGAGAGGTCAGAAATGACACGCATACTACAAGGCAACCTGAATAGGTGCGCCTTGGCGCAAAATCTACTGCGCCAGCGTGGTTTTGAAGATAAAATCGACGTCTGCTTTATCTGCTAGCAATATATAAACATCGAAGGCAAAACATGGTTCGCAGACGAAACGGGCACGGCAGCAATTTGGATTGTGAACACAAAAAACGTTACCGTCAACAACAGCGGAAGTGGAGCAGGTTTTGCCTGGATTCAAACCCCCACAACTTACTTCATGAGCGTCTATCTCTCACCTAACGAAGGGATTAGTTTATTCCGACAGAAACTGGCAAATATAGAAGATGCGGTCACCAAGTTCGACGGTGAAGTTATCGTAGCCGGAGACTTCAACGCTAAATCGGCTGAGTGGGGCGCTGCTTTCTCCGACACCAGAGGAAACGAGGTCGCTGACGTCGTGGCTAGACTCGACCTCATAGTGCTGAACACCGGAAGCACCACGACCTTTAGAAGACCAGGGTACCAAGAATCCATCCTCGACATCTCATTGGCGACTCCAAGGATTGCCAACATGATCAAAGACTGGACAGTATCCGAAGAATACAGTGGCAGTGATCACCAGTTCGTGACATTCAGCGTTGGATTGGCATTTTCTCCGGTTTCACAACGCGACAATTCTAAGCGGAAGTGGAATGTCAGGAAGCTCGATCCAGAGGCACTGCGAGCTTCACTTGCACGGAGCTGCTCTACCCTACAGAACATTCCGACTCCGGATACTTGCAGCGAGACAGAAAGGACAGTGCTAAATATGATGAAGGAGATTTCTGCCGCATGTAACGCCTCTATGCCGCAATTGAAAAACCGGAGTTTTCACAGGCCGGCGTATTGGTGGTCAACAGACATAGCAGAACTTCGCAAAATATGCCATTAACTACGTCGCCGCGCAACGAGAGCCGCAAAACGCTCCTCAAGCCAGGACTTGTATTCAAAAGAGTACAAGCAGGCCAAGAAGACGCTAAACCGAGCCATCAAAGCAAGTAAAGCAAAGTTGTGGAAAGAGATCTGCAACGATCTCGACAATGACATCTGGGGTAAAGCCTACCGAATTGTCGCCAAACGACTTGGAAAGACTTTACCAGAGGCGCTGAAGTCTCCAGCCTTAATGGATAGTATTGTAGCGGAGCTTTTTCTCAAACACCCGCCGCGGGAGAAGAAACACTACACTAAAAACCACGAAGTAACACCCTTCACAACTAAGGAACTACAAGACGCGGCCAAGTCACTCAAAACAGGAAAGGCACCTGGACCTGATAGCATCCCGGCATCGGTGATTAAGATTGTAGCCCTGGAATACCCAGACTTACTCCTGAACACCTACAACGCATGCTTAGCAACTGGCACGTTTCCCGCGATCTGGAAACGGCAGAGATTGGTTCTCTTAGACAAAGGTAAGGGAACCCCCATAACACCTTCGTCGTTTATAATACTCTGTATGCTGGACATTGCTGGAAAACTACTCGAGAAGCTCATACAAGGGAGACTTTGCAACGACATAGACCATTCTCGAGGTTTTGCCACCAACCAGCATGGCTTCCGGAAAGGTCATTTGACAGTCGGAGCAATCAAGAAAGTCATAAAAACAGCAACACAAGCATGGTCTGGTAGCCTCAAAGCTCGTAAAGTATGTCTTTTCCTCACGCTAGATGTCAAAAACGCATTTAACAGCGCAAATTGGAGAGATATTTTGGACGCCCTGGAGCACAAGTTTGACGCGGAGCCAGAAAATCTGGCACTAGTCGATAATTACCTTGACGATAGAAAGCTAATAGTGGAAACTACTGAAGGCCCACAAGAATACGTCATAACGGCCGGCGTGCCGCAAGGCTCAATAATGGGGCCTGATCTATGGAACGCAGACTACGACGAGCTTCTTGAAATCCCGTTGCCAGAGCAAGTAGAGCTAACAGGCTTTGCAGACGACGTTGCAGCCACTATAGTGGTGGACAGCGTAGAAGAGACCGAACTGCTAGTTCGAGAAACCATCGACACCGTCGAGACTTGGCTTGATAAGCATCACCTGAAACTCGCCAAACAAAAAACCGAGATGGTCGTTGACACGTCAAAAATGGTTCCCAAAACCATTTGCTGTGGACATGGGAGGAACAACACTGACGTCAACAAGGGCCCTGTGATACCTAGGGGTTATGATAGACGAGAAGCTATCTTTCCGTGACCACCTCGACAGTACATGCAAGAAAGCCAGCAAGACTGTGTCTAGCCTAGCACGAATTATGACCAACACCATGGGACCAAGAACGAAAACGAGAAGAGTTCTCCTAGAAGCAGTCCATTCGGTACTACTGTATGGAGTGGAAATATGGGCAGACATATTAAAGCAGAAGACCTACCGGCGGAAAATGGCAGCAGTACAGCGGCGAGGCGCTCTCAGAGTTGTCTGCGCCTATCGCACAGTTTCCGAAGCGGCTGTACTGGTCATTGCGGGAGCTACGCCCATCGACCTATTAGCGTTCGAAAGAGCAAGACTCTACGACGCTAAAATCAGTGGCGAAATCATGAAGGAGGCAATAACGAGGATAAAAACGGAAACGCAGCAAGAGTGGCAGGACCGATGGACGTCGGGAAAAACAGGCAGATGGACAGCGCGACTGATCCCAAACATCAACGCCTGGCTCTCTCGGAAACACGGGGACACGGATTTTTTCCTGACCCAACTACTGACAGGACATGGGCAGTACAACGCCTATCTCTTCAAGATGGGTCTACACAACACACCAACATGCAAATACTGCCCGGATAAAATCGACGACGCCGAACACACATTCTTTGAGTGTGCTCGGTGGAAGGACTACAGAAGAAGCACCGAAAAGATCATTGGCACCAGGCTCTCCCCCTCAAGCCTGGTGACCTATATGATCAAACAAGAGGAAAACTGGTCAGCTGTTGCAGCTTATGCACAGCACCTCCTGAAAGACAAAATCGCAGAAAGAGACCAGTAGCCAGGAGTAGGCGTCGTGAGACGCAGCACGGCTGGATTGAAATAATGCTAACGCGGTTCCAATCCAGTCCTCCCTGTACCATCTAGGGGAGAGGGGAAGAGAAATGTTTTTTTTAGTGGGTAAAAATCTCCACACTACCGACTATCGATATCTGCCGTAAGATGGGCGGCAGAGTTAACGATAGCGGTGTTTTTTGAAGATCTTTTTTCGTACCTCTTTGGAAAAAAAAAAACACACACACACACACTCGGACCTCGAAACATCAAGATCTGATGAGAACTCGATTTTCGAGAAACGGGGTAAAACCAATAACTTCCCGATTTTTGAAAATTTTCAATTTTCTTAGCGGGAAGTTAAAAGTATTGACAAAATTTATTCCAATCTATTTCATATATTTATTTACAACATGAAGATTCTCTAACGCATAGATTAGTGAACGAAGATCTAGATGATTTTTTAGTTATATCTTTTTATTTGTGATGTAAATTAATAATTTACATACAAAATTGCTGTAGATGGGACAAGAAAGTATTCAATTTTTATAATAATATGTTCATTTAATTGTTATAGTTATGAATTATTTTAATAAGGTTCAAATTGAGTGAACTGTAGCTTGAAATATTTTGATAACTGCTCTTAAGCTGAATATCCTTTATCTAATATGGAACGAAAAATTAAGAGGATCACTTGTTTCCAATATGTATAATGTTTTTCAGTATTTCCAGAATCTAAAACGTACTAACAATATGATAACGAGCACACTGGTTAAAAAAAGTTTACTTATTACGTCAATCTGAACGTAGTCACTAATTAGTTACATTCAAAGCTATGCAGGGGGATAAAGTGAGACTGAAGTAGGGTGCCTGTAACAAACTGTATGTTGGCATTATAGCTTTGCAAGCTGAAATTTGTTTTCTCGTCGTAAAAATTAACCGGAGACGCCATCGTTTATACATAGCCGGTTGGGAAAAACAACGCACCTACCTTCATCATTTTCTCTTTTATTTATTTTTTTTTCATTCTATCTTTAAAAATCGAGTATTTTTTTTTATTTTCCTTTTCAGATTTATTGTGGGGTTTTTACTTATTCATTTCTCTTTAATTTTTTTTGTCTTAATTTAAAAAAAGGAAAAAAAAGTATACAAAGACCAATGGAAAGAATAAGAAAAAAAAATATCCCAACTGAAAAGAATTTTTTGCAGAAGTAAGCCTATGAATCAGAGCTTTCATTTGGATTAAATATTATTATCCAGTTATGAATACAGTTCTGAAGCTTTTGTTTGGTGTACATTAATTGAAGAAACTGAGTTATGGTACGGACATCTGTCTTTATTGAATTTAAAATTTGCTTATGATACTGTAACAGGTTTTCTGACCGTTCAACTGGCCCCAAAATTAATTAATCAATAATTAATTAGCTAATAAATAAAACAAAACAAAGTCTACTAATTTAGGGCGCCACCAGGTTTATTCTCACGGTTCCTGGAATCGGAACAGAGCAGAGAGCTTATCTTCTAGGGATAGAGAGAGTGGAGGAAGGTGCTGTTGAAATGAAAAATAATTAATTAACAAATTGGCCAATATTTATTAACAACAACAAAATAAATCACTCACACACTCACACTATAAACAACTTAACAAACAGCCTAACTAACGGCTGACCAGAACTGTATTAATTACTCTGCACAAAGAATGCAGTGTGCAGAGATCGTCTAGCCTAACTTGTGGCTAACCAGAACAAACCACTTATAATAACCTTATTCCCGTTGTACCCGCGACCCGGGCATCTATAAAAATAAAAAATCTTTAACATGTTATCCGATCTGTGGAATATAAATTTTTGATTTTTTGACCTTAATCCTCAAAAAATTTTAATTCTTTAAAAAAATCTTTTCAAAACCGTTTATTTTTTAATTTTAATTCGTTCTCTGCTTATATCTAACCCTTTTATCTTCAAATGACCTACATAAAGGGTTTCTCTTTCGCTTTTTTATTTTCTCAAACAATGATCAGCCATCATAATGATATCCCACTTTCCTTGATAACGATTTTCCATGACACTAATGTCTTGATGGAATTTTTCACCTTGCTCTTCACTGTAATCGTTAAGATTTTCAGGAAAGTGTGAAAGGTGAGAATCTAAATAGTGCAATTTTGAATTCATCAAGCAACCTAAAGTATCGTAGTTGTACTACAACTCTTCAACTAAATTCACGTAATTCTCACTTTTTGTATTCCCTAAAAAGTTTTGTGATACTCCTTTGAAGCTTGCCCATGCTGCTCTCTCAATCTCGTTGATTTCATATTCGAAATTATCGTCCTTAAATAATGTCCGAATTTAGGGTCCATCGAAAATTCCTTCTTTCAATTTTGCATCACTTATAGCTGGAAAGTTTTCCCCCAAATATTTGAAACAGTTGCCATTTTTTTTGTCTAAAGCTTTGACAAACTGCTTCATAAGACCAAGCTTCATGTGAAGTGGCGGTAGTAATTACTTGGAAGGATCAATTAGAGGTTCTCGGGTAACATTGTGAGAACCAGGATTCAAATTCATTCTCGTTGGCCATTCTTTTTTAACATAGTGATTTTTTCGATCGCGACTATCCTACAAACATAAAAAGCAGGGATATTTTGTGAACCCTGATTGTTGGCCGAATAGTAGTGTTGCAAGAGGATTGCACCAAGACACAGGTGTAATAAAAACGATATAGAAAAAAAGTAGAATTAACTAAAATTTTTTGAGGATTTAGGTCAAAAAATTTAAAATTTATATTCCACAAATCGGATAACATGTTAAAAATTCTTTATTTTTATTTGATAATTAATTTTTATCATAACGGACTTGATTTATTTTAATTTTCAGTGGTTTTTTGCCATTTATTTAGATTTTGAGAGATGTCTGAACCATATAAATTCGAGATTTATATTCGGCGGATCGAAATACATGAGAATCGTGATTGATCTAATTTTATAAAATTTTTTTTAACACAATATCTGAAATTTTTTTGCTTTTTTATGCTATTTTTTGCTTTTTTTGCAATTTTTCAGGGTTTTTTTGAATTTACTTAATTTTTTAATAGCTTATGGTCTAAATAAACTCCAGATAAGTATTAAGCGGGTCGAAATACATTAAAATCATGCTTAGTTTATGTCATCAAAAATTTTTAAATCATTTTAAATCGCCTAAATTTCCGATTTTCGTAATTTTTTTCGATTTTTCAAAGTTTTCTCGAAAATTTGACGGTGTATGGGTCAAATTGACCTCAAATTCGGATTCAGCGGGTCGAAATACATAGAAATATATGGGTCCCGTCAAAAGTACTGACAACTTTTTTTTTTGTGTGCCGGTGTTATTTTTAAAATGTTGGAACTCTCAACTGATTTTTTTAATTTACATCTTGATCAGTGGATATCTGACAAAAGTTACAATACGTGCCTCAAAATTTTAAAAAATTTACACGTTGTTAATGATACTGCGGAACGGGCGGTTCAATTGATGGAAGCCTACAATAAAAGCTTAACTGCTGATGAAGAGCAGAAACAGTACTTATTGCAAGTTATAGCTATAGCACAGAAAAAAATTTCCAAATGCTAACTAGCAGACGTTAATGTTACCATATTAGATAAATGAAAAAATGAAATTTTCTGTAATTATAACGATTAATTAATAATAATTTGACTTAGATTATTATATTGAAACGAGTCAATACTGTAATTGAAAATTTTAATGCTCAAAAATGTACAATAAAATTGAATTATTCATGTAAGAGTAATAAATTGAAAATTAAATGGAATTTAATGTGTATTTTTTTAAATGATGCCGTTTAACGGGCCGTTTAACTTCGAAAATAATGGTTCTACGGTCTTCGTATAGATATTTTTGTAGAGAATTTAATTTTCTACAAAAGCCATAAGAAGATTTTTTGAAAAAAAATTTTTTTAATAACAAAAAGTCCACTTGAAACAAAAAAAAATTTTTCCTACGTTATTTGAATGGGAAATCAAATTTTTGAATGAGCTAAGCCGCTATTGGACTTAAAACCTTTAGTTCAGCGGCATAATTTTTTATTTTTTATATACTACCAGATTTTCTGGTATAGTAGTAAAAAAAAAATATTGCCTAGAAATGACACACCCTAGTACCCACATGCATTTTGATATTTTTTTCATATATACATATACATAATATATGTATATTTTAACATATGTATAATATATGTATATTTCAGCCATAAAAACCCATTTCATCACAAAAATTTACTGGTCACAAAATTTTTCTTATTCTCAATGGAAAAGGCAAAAATATGTAAATATCAATATCTTTTTTTCAGTTCTCGGTAGGCCTCCAAAAATTTAAGTGGTTAATTAAGATATTGTTATATTTCTATATGCTAAGTTTCATCAAATTCTGAACGTCAATTCTAAAACCGTTAGTTCTACCTTAAACAATAAATATTTACTGTTTAAAATTCCATTACTCAATGATTAATTGAGTTTGAATTTCCCATTGAATGGCAAATGGGTTGCCATTCAACGGCCATGGCTAGGTTTCCCAGTCTTGGCTAACCCTTGGGTAATCATTGAGTCGACCAAGTCTAGATTGCCCAGTCCTGGCTGCTATTAAATGGCCGTGGCTGGGGGACCCAGTTCTGGCCCAGGCTCGGGTAATCATTGGGCCGACCAAGGCTTGGTTGCCCAGTCTTTGCCCAAGTTTGGGTTGCCAATGAATCGCCAAGGTTAGGTTAGCTAGTCTTGGCCCAAGCTTGGATAATTGTTGGGATGGCCGAGGCTGGGTTAAGCAGCCTGGCCTACGCATGGGCTAATACAGGTACACCGAAGCTAGGTTTTCCAGTACTGGCTCAAGCCTAGCCCCTTTGTCAACTCTGGGGGTTTCCTGCACGGTAAGTAAAGTTTTGAGAGCTTAAGTATGGAATTAGCAAGACGTTGCATGGATGGCCTTTGGGGTCAACCGTTTTTCTAATTTTTTTATCATTTTTTATCAAATGATATGGACCGGACTTGAAAATTAACTGTGGCCCATCCCTGGTAACCAGGCTTGGTCCAGCGCTATCGTTCCAGACTTAAACCAAGACTGGGCCAACTCTGGTCTACAAGCCTGGCCCAGAGTTGTACATAGTTGGGCCAAGCCTGGGCCCGCCATACTTTCCTACATGGGTGGTCAGATCAAATTTTTTCTGAATAATAATTGAATGAAAGTATTTTTTTCTTTTTTGTAAGAATTTGATTTTAAATTAGTATTTTTCACTAGCATAGTTTGGTTAAATTTTGGAATTTAACCAAACAATGATTGAGTTTTAACCAAGACTAACGGTTCGAAAATGGTAATTTTCACTTACAACACAGTTTCTGAGAAAGTCAAGTTTTTAGGACCTACGCAGTATTTTCAACTTTTAAAACATTAACTTTAAATGGTTGTTAAAGGTCATTTGAGAAGTCACAAATTATTTACATTATGGAAATTGATGCAAATTTTACCGTTGCTGGTGGTGGCGGACTCGCACATCCTTCCGTCATTGCGTGCTCGTGATACATAAAGCTGTGAAGAAGTGTATTGTTGGGGTGAAGACTGACTGCTGATACTTCTGTCGTGGCGCCCAACCCCCCCAAGCCTCCTAAACCTGCCAGGTTTCCCCCGCCCCCTTCCGAAAGCTGGAACGTAGCGTATGGCGAGATGTCCTCCGCTGTCTCTGTAACCCAACCGAGGCATTGCCTACCTTTTAAATCTCATCAGTTTTAATTTTCAATCCATATGCATAAAAAAAATTCTGATTAGGCTTCATACGCAAATTAACAACATTTTCGTTTTTTTTTTGACCGAAATTTTCCTATTTTTGCATGAAAATCAGTACTTGTGCTACGGGATATAACCAATGTAAGAATAAACCTAAAACCATTTGACTTTTTTGCTTTACATGTACCGTTGTTCAGATTTTTTTTAACAACGTGGACCTATCTACTTTTTGATGACTTCTGTTTAACTGTCGTTTTTGTAATTAAAAAGTGCTTAAAGTGAAAAAAAAATTTTTTTTGTCGTTTATGAGTGTTTATATTGAGCTAATAAAATTATATATCATTAAAGATAGAGTGTTTTCAAGAAAAATTAATGTGTTCAAAGTAGAATAACCCCTTAAGACGATAATTTCTCATTTAAATAGCATGGGATTTAACAACTTTTTACATTTAATTCTTTTTTCCTTCTGAACAATCGAATTTATAACAATGAGAGTTATACACTGTCGTAAGAAATTTAATTCTTTACAAAAAAGATTTTTTTTTATCATTTTTCGATAAATTAACTTTTGATATTTTTTATTTTGACAGTAAAACTATATCCGCTCATCTCGCCCTGGTTAAGGATACTGATTGCAAAGAATTGAAAAGTAGTCACTCCATGCAAACTATATATCTATATATTCAAACAAAAGAATTGGAATAATTAAAAAAATTAGAATTTCATCATTTTTAATTCTTCTCAATCAATATTTTTACACAGGGAAATTCATTTGATGTTATTTAATAAAGTTTCACCTGGAATTTTGTCTGTTCCGCCAGTATTAGCAGCCTGTTGAAGAGCAACCTTATGTATCGTTGCATAATATCTTTCTCTTTGCGTTTCCGCATTTTGTTGATTTTCTTGACTTTCTTTCATTGGTCGCTGTTGCTGATCTCTTAATTGCTTAGCTTTCCATCTTACGCCAAAAGCAATACAAACTGTTACTAGTGCAAAAGCCACAGCAATCAGTGGTAACATTACTTTTACGTTCACATAAAATGGTTGATTAGAGGTCATACCTATTTCAGATAGTTCTGGCGGTGGTGCTTCTGTAAATGTAATTTTAATTGTTTTAGTTTATTAAGTTTTAATATTAATTAAAATTATTTTTATTTATATCTCACCACCGTCTTTAGTAAATGTTACGAAATTAAATTCAGCCTGATTACTTCCAGCAACATTATAAGCTTCTACTTTTAATTGATAAACGGTACTCGGTGATAAATTTGTAACAACAAATTTTCGTTGCATTTGTACATTATTAGAAACCAATGTCCAATGAAATTCATTTACTGGACGATACTGAATAACAAAATAAGTTATTGGACAGCCATTATCTGGCCATGTATGGAGACGCAACGAAAGAGATGTAGAGTTGGGTGCCAAAAATGCTGCTGCAGGTGGAATACCGGGCGCTTGACCTTGAGTTCGAACTGAGAGAACTGGAGAAGGTTGACTGCTCCCAATTTTATTATGAGAAGTTAGATAAAGATGATACATATTGCCACATAGAAGCCCCTTCAGTTCATGATTGGTTGCTCGCCGAGATAATTGTAACTCATCAAGATTCCCATGAGTGGGACGATAATGGAGAGTATATCCTATTAATGGTGAGCCACCATTGTAGCCAGGTTTCCAATGAAGAAGAACACTTCTCGATGTAGAACTTGTTACATATAAGACTGGAGCACTTGGTGGAACTAATAAAAGTTGAAAACAAAAATATTTATGTAAATGAAATATTTGATATAAGTTAACGCATCTAAATAAACCACTTATAACTATGAAGGAAAAATTTTACACCTTGAACAATAAGACTGTAATGAAGGCGATCACTTCCCAATATATTTTCAACTTGACAAGTATAGTTTCCAGCATCATGACTTTGAATATTAGATAGGATAAGCTCTCCTGATTCTAATACTTGTACATTTTTATTAGAATCAGTATGGATTTCTTCAAGAAGACCTTTAAACCACTGACGAGAAGGATCACCAACTGCGTGACAGGCCATTGTAACCGAACTATGCCATGGTCTTATAATGTGACTTCCGAATGATGTTATTTTTGCAACAACATGATTTTTTGGCATAGCTGCTGCGACTGTTGAACTTTGTCCTTCTCCTATACGAGTACTAGCAGTTACCCAGAACTGATATTCTACTCTTTGTTGTAGGCCTGTTACTTCAAAGAAAGTGTTTGTTGCAGGCAATACTCTTTTTCCATGATTCAATTCTTCACGGCCATCCATGATTCTAGTAAATATTTAAATATGAATTGTTTCAAAAGTTGTAATCGCTTGAGATAACTAAAGTTCAAAATTCTATTATAGTTTATAGAATATTTATTTATGTGGTTTTCATTGTTAATATAATACGAAAAAAAAAAAAAATGAGCAACTTAAAAAGCATAGCAAGTCATTGTTTGTTGTATTATTCGATAACGAATTAACAAAACAGAAAATGTACTCTAGAGTACAAGCTTTTACACTTTTTAATTTGTTTACTAAACAATGTAAAATCTTTATAATTTTTGTACTTTCTACACAGCAAAAAATTTTTCGTCAAATTCAACCCAAAAGTTGTGTTGATGACTTGCTTTACACGAACTTAATGTTATTGCAACACAACCTGTATGCAACAATAAAGTGACACAGCTCTATGTTTTAAGTAATGAAGCTCTGTGTGAAAAAGAATACAGGTCTGTGTTAAGAGTAATGCAGCATCGTGTTAATTTGACATTAAAATAGTGTTACTTAAGTATCAAATAACACTTTTAGGTATTTGAAAACGGACTCATAAAATAACACAAGTGATTGTGTTGAATCAGCACACTAAAATGTTAAATATTCGATACTAAAATTTTTACACTTTACACAATGACGAAAATTTTTTTACTGTGATATTTTTAAACAAAAGTTTGTACATCTTTTTTTGGTGGTAGCGAACAACCATTTATTTCATTCAATTCATATTTATGGAGCATTCCACGTTTTTTTATGTATTTCATAGATAAAAATGTATAAAAAATTACTCGACTCTAGTTTCTTGTTAATTATATTCAAACGACAACGAATCAATACAGCCATCTGCAGTACGAAATCAGTTGAATCTATTCAACTAGTTTTGTGATTAAGTTGGTACACGAGTAGTAAATTAAGATTATTTTTTTTTTTTTTTCAGTGATCAAGTGTCTTCAACTACGTGATACCAAATAATTAGTTACTTTACGGAACAAAAAAAAAACGATGAAATCTTAAAACAATGAGAACATTTGTAACTTTAGTCTCCATTCCCGGGAAAAAATCAGCATGCATAAATCGTGTATGATCATGCACAATCGTGCAAGGTAATACTCAATCATGTACTTCTAAGCATACGTATATCTAAAAAACGTATAACATTGATTTTTAGAGTCGGTTATATATGATCATATATAATGATTGGCCAAATATAATTATATAAAAATATTTATAACTATTAGACTGATTCAAAAAAACCGACTATTTTTTTTTCTTATTAATATCGAAAATATTGTTTGAAATGACGAAAAAAAAATCCTGTGAAAATTAGAGCTCTTAATATTAATATTAAGAGGTGCTGAGTCGAAAATTTCAATTTCCCATTTGATTAACGTGGGAAAATTTTTTTTTCTTACTTTGGAATTTTATAAATCTTTAACAAGTCATCGGACAAGTTGAGTCAGAACATATTTTTGTAGAGAATTGAACGCTCTACAAAAAATCTCTCTTATAATTTTTCGATAAACCGATGCGTTTCGAAGATATTCAACTTTAAATTATAATTTATAATATTTTCTCATTTTTTCCAATTTTTTGACGAAACTATCAAGTTTATCAAAAAATTTCGTCAAATTTTTCAAATTTTTTGTATTCTATATTTTATTTGGTTTCACAGATCCTTTTATTCAACTGTCAAATTTCTAATACTATCGTACCTTGATTTGCCAATAAATTCAAATTTTTTTTTTTCAACTAAAAATGATTATTATCCATTATTTATTGGATTCTATAAGTTCATAATATTATATATTTTAAATTTATGCAATTAATTTTATTATTTTAATAAAAATGTGTTAATATAATTTTATTATTTATCGAAGCTAGTTTCACAGTTAAAATGATCGAAGCCCGAAACAAAGAAGACATCGGTTGTACTATTTGTTCTTAATTAACTTGACTATTTTATCATTGTTTTTTGTGAATATTTTGGCTTGTATTTTAAATTCATTTTTTGTAATTAATTAATTTTTATCCTAGAATTCTTTTTTCATGTGTTATTTGTCCAATAATTTTTTGACCGATATTTATTTTTTTCTAATTTATTTCGTAACTGAGTACTTTTCTGAATGGATGAAATCGATTATAAAAAATGGATAAAGAAGTTTATTTAATTGGTTTTCCAATAAGTGGTCTTGTTGGACATAAACTTCCAACTTTTAGAGACGTTTTAGCTTTATTTTTCTATAATCATAAAGCACAAAAATGTAGTGTTGAAGAAAGTGTTTTATTTACTGTGACCGAGGTTCAAGAAGAATGAAAAAAGACCCAAATTCCTACTTCTTAATGTCTAAATGCCATCAATAAGTTATTGAGAATTTTCCTAAAGTGGAAAAGTTGCAGCATAGTTGTAAACGAAAACAATCATCCACGCAAATCAAAAATGAAACTGTTTATAAGAATAAGTTGAAGGAGTTATTTAATATTGCTCACAAGATAGCAGCCAAAACCTTAAGTGAAGAGGGAAATTAATTATTGTTAGCCCAGAAATCATCAGGTCAGCGTGGATTTATTGATAATTTTCCACAAAAACCTTTAACATATAAAGAACTGTTGGAGGTAGATGAAGAAAATATGTGTTAATTCAAGTTTTTCACAAATAAAATAATAGATTCACAGTTTAATGGAAATATTTTTTTGATGTTTATTTAAATTAGTGAAAATTTAAATAAACATCAAATAAATATTTTCATCAAACTGTGAATATTATTTTATTAATTAATTATGGATATGAACAACAAGACAATGAATTTTTCACAAATATTTTATGTTAGTTCTTTAAAATGATAGAAAAAGAATTATAAAATATGGAGATCTTTTACTTTTCTCTTTATCGGTTCAAAATTTATTTGTATTTTGGTTAAATTTCATTCATCATTTCTTTTCTTTTCGACGAGTTTAAAATAACAGTTTATTAATTAATATTTTGAATTTTAACTTCTTTGCAGAAGTATCATACAAGGAGTGACTATAGAGAATTTTTGGAGGGAGCTGTCATCAGTTTTTTTAAGAGTTGTACCAAAAGAAAATTTTTCGTTTAAAAGTCCAGGAAAATATTTCGAAATTGTATTTAAACTACTCTAATGTCACAAAGTTAAGAAAAAAAAATTAGAAAAACGGATGAGCCTAAGGGCCGTTCCTGCAATTTCCCACTAATTTCATACTTAAGCGCTCAAAATTGCACTTAATACGTTTTTAAGCTCTTCGAGCTCAAAAATATAATTTTTGTATCATTTTGAGCTGACGTGGTTTTTTAATGGTAAGAGCTGATTAGTTTTTGAAATTGATCGGCACAGCCGTTTAAAAGTTATTCCAAAAAAATCACATGTAAAAAAAAATTTTTTTTTGTAGTTTTTTTAAGATTTATCAAAATCTACAGGTCCGAATCGGTCCAAAGTGTATTCAAAATCTAAGTCGAAATCGGTCGAGCAGTTCAAAAGTTATGAGAGGTTTACACACACATACACACACACACACACACACACACATTAAAGTCGGCGAACAAGAAATCACATCACAACCTTACATCCGATATTTGGGAGTGATGCTTGATGCCCGTCTCAACTTTAAACAGCAAGTGGAACACGTCAGTGCCAAAGCGTCAGTAGTGAGGGCTAGTCTCGCACGACTGATGCCGAACGTTGGAGGCCCAAAGGAGAGCAGGAGACAACTACTATCATCAGTTGTCACATCGGCGCTCACATATGGAATATCTATTTGGGCAGACGCGCTGAAGTTGCAAAAATCATGGAGAAAAGCTGGACCAGTATATCGACTGAGCGCTGTAAGACTAGCCAGTGCATTCCGCACGATATCAGAAAAAGCAGTGTGTGTCATTTCCGGAACTCTACCACTCAGAGTTCTAGCTGAGGAAAGACGGAACATTTACCAACGAAAGAGGTCAAAACATCTTAGCCACTAGAAGGAAGAGCGGCAGCTAATTCCTCCCCCTGCGAAGAAATGCCTTACGGCGGTACCATGGGGGATCAGAGGATAGAAGAGAAAGGGGTTTAGGGTTTAGTGGGTAGGGGCGTCAGCGTCGAGTTTTAGTATGACGCTGCGTCGAGTCGCCACATATCCGGGCCAACATCTATGCCTAGAATCCGTAAAAAGGATTCCCCCCCTCAAAGGAAAAAAAAAAAAAAAAGAAAAAAAAAAACAAACAACACACACACACACACACACACACACACACACACACACACACATTCGGGGAAGCTTCCTAGGACCCCTAAACGTTAACATCCGTTGAAAACTCGATTTTCGAAAAACGGCCCGAGTCGAAATTCAGAGCCCAAATAGAGCCTCCTAAGGTAGGACTCCGGTCGGACCTCTGGGCTCTAAGTCGGGTCTATTCTCATGTTAAATTAAGTCCGATTTGAGACCCGAAAGTGGTACAAATTTTCGTTTTTACCACTTTAGTGTCTAAAGTCGGACCTAATTTAACACGTGCATAGAACCTACTTAGAGCCCAGAAGTCCGACAAGATTACTATAACGCATGCAAAATTTATTCTGCGCACACCAGGCTCCTATGATCCACCATTTTGTTATTAACTATATACATATTTTGAATAAAAAATTAATAGAAGAGAACTTTTATAGTTTTTAGTTCAAAGTGCATTTTGGACTCAGGAATTTACCAGATATAACATACGTTAGTCTAAACTTACACTCGCCTACCTAGCCAGAAGAAATAAATTAAAAATACGCCCAAACCACGATTCGAACACACGACCCTACAGACGCGAAGCCGACGCGTAACCGATTACGCTACTACGAACGATAGTACGTGAATCAATTTTGTTTGAATATGAATTATTGACTGTATTGAAATATAGGTGACAAGTTAGAAATGTTGTCAATCGTCGTTACAACTATACTAGTAAAGCTACGTACTATAATTACTTAAATTCAAAAGAATTTTTTTTTAACTTCCCGCTAAGAAAATTTATTTTTTTTTAAATTTC